TTCTTAACAAATCCGCTATGCTTACTTATATTTCATTCCTAGTTTAACAATTACGTCTTGCCCGCAAAAGTACGTATCAGTGTTTGTTGTAGTGTCAGAAGCCCAAAGGCGCTGAACAGCTGTGGGTTGAGCATGTTGCATGTTTTGCATGCTGGAAATAGCGGATTGAAATAGGTTTTGGATTTTAAAATGGGGACTTGGTTTTAGTGAAATGTGGCTTTGATTAGTTCCATGCGTTTGATTCTAAAATCTTTGAATATAGCATATGCGTGCCATCTTTACACAAAATGAACCTGTCTTGTGTGAAATGTTTAGTTTGCTACAGGTGTACCGCACGTATCAGTGCATGCTTACATGGGTGTTTGGTTGTGTGGGCATGTATGAGTGAGAGCGAACGTGTAAACCTTTTACGCATGGGTAAATGTGTGCAAGACTGTTATTATGAATGTATGAGTCAAATTATATATCTATTACGCATGCTTATATGCAGTTATAGCAATTCATCGTATTTAAGCAGATTTAAGCAGAAGTTATTGATTCTAAATTATATAAAAGACTGTCACACTATCCGCATTCACCTTCCATGAATAACAAATAGCACGATTTGTTTACCAAAGAAGTGAATGTGGCTCCAAATAATCATGAATCTTAGTCCAAGATCATGAACGGACTAGGTAAAGAGTGCATGCAAATGGAAAGAAAAAAAATATCTTATTCATAGTCCACGCTAATTCTTAATCTTAATCCAAAATAATAAGTGGACTAGGTAAAAACTGCATGAAAATGGAGAAAAAAAAATTATCTTATTCTTAGTCCACGATAATTTTTAATCTTCACCCAAGATAATAAGTGGACTAGGTAATGACTGCATGAAAATGGAGAAAAGAATAGATAAAAAAAGAGAAGAATCACTTAAAAAATATATACTGAGCGAATGTGAGCTAAATGGATGACAGCTCTAACTAGGGATAAGTACAGCTGATGATGACTTTCTAGTTTCAGTGGGTCGTGCACCTAGCGGTTCCTGAAGGCAGAAATGGTGCCCGCTTCGGTATCTGTTCTCACCTACAGTATGTTACCGAATGAAGAGAGGTTTCTCTGCCAATGATTTTCTCTGTATTCTCGCTACATTTGCGTTCCTCGTCACTTGTTTCTTTCAGTGTAAATGTTAAATCTTCCTTTTATTTAAATTTTCATTTCATGTGTTTTTTTTTCTTTAATCTTAATCTTCTTTTCTGTGAAAAGTTTGTCTGACTTTGATCACTTATTGATGATGATTTTAGATTATGTGCACGAGCTTTTGTTGTTTGCTTGTGTATGCCCTGAACGAACACATGGTCACACACACACACGCACATGCACACACGCGCACGCGTAAACCCACCCACACACACCCACACACACACACGCACGCACGCACGCACGCACACACACCCACACCCATGCACACACGCACTCACGCACACACACACACACACACACACACATACACGTTCACGCGCGCATACGCACAGTAAATTGACCCATACACGTGTAGTTTAATTGCGTGAATATAGAGAGAAATATATATACATACAGTATGCATTCTACAAATAACTATACATAAGCATAACACAAATATGATACACACATGTACTCTAACATACACATAGCACAGACACATGTACACACATTCCTCATACATGAACACAAAACACACCTACACATATACAAAATACGTGACACTTGGTATACTGATCACGCACATGTACGTACACAGTATACATAACACTCGAACACGAATTTTTACAAACGTACACATACACAGAATACACATAACACATACCAATTTCACTCCAACGCCCACTGACTTCCTTCTGCTTATGATAGCTGTCGTCAGCGGTGGGCGTGGCTATGGTGGGCGTGGTTCTAGGAGTCGTCATCGCCTTCCCAGCGCTCGCCCTTGATGCCTGGCGCCTCGAGGGGGACGTCACACTCAACGAAGTCGAGGCTGGATGGTTCGGTGAGTGGAGGGAGTGTGGACGATTGGGATTCGGGATTTGATGATCAAGTGAAGGATTAGGATTTGTTAGGATTAGGGGCTGGATGATCAGGGAGAAGATTGGTAACTTGTGAGTTTCGATATTTCAAAAAAATATGTATCATCTGTGTGTTTTAACATTATATGAAAAATACTGTATACAAGAGATGTATTCTTGCTTTTAAAACTATTCTATGATAACAATTACATCTTTCATTCTCTTTTCACATACACACAAAAACAACACATTTTGATCCTTTTGGCGTAAAGAAAGATATATTCCCTTCCTTGACCACTTCTCCCTTGAAGTAACTCTCCCTCTTCCTCGCGGCAGTCAGCGTGGCTCAGACAGTGTCGGTGGCAGGATCCATCGCAGGAGGGGTTCTGAACGACGTCCTCGGCCCCAGGAAGCTCTTGCTGGCTGTCCTGCCTCTCCTCGCTAGTACTTGGCCGGTCTTCTTGGCCTGCGTGCACAACCTGCCTCTTCTCCTGACGGTTCGGGTTCTTCAGGTGAGTGGTTAATTTAGGGCGAATTGTTCCATTTTTTATGCCAGGCTTCAGAAGTAGGATGTGATGAAATTTAAAATAGTAGTTTACGATGATGTGCTGTGCTAAAATTTTGTTATACACTATTGACATCGCATAGATATTGTTTGTATCATATGGCTCATAGTTCCTGCTCTATGTGCCCAGGGCCTGCTGTGCTCGGCGGCCACCGCGAGCGTCTACATCTACCCGTGCGAGGTGACAGAGGCAAGGCGGCGCGGCGCCGTGGGCGTGCTCCCCGACGCGGCCTTCTCGCTCGGCTTCATGCTCACGTACTTCCTGGCCGCCATCCTGCACTGGTCGACCGTCATCGTCATCATGCCACTGTTCTTCCTTCCTTGCGTCGTGACTGTGTTCCTGGTGCCAGAGTCGCCGTCGTGGCTGCTGCAGCGCGGGAGGATGGAGGAGGCGCGGGCCATCCTTCGACAGCTGCGGGCTCAGGACGTCAACGTGGACAAGGAGCTCCTGGGCATGGGCCCCCTGGACGAGTGCGGCGGCGGCGCGTCCGTGGTGAGGCAGCCTCGCCTCCTGCTGCCGGTCCTCGCGTCCATCTTCCTCATGGTGCTCAAGGAGGCCACGGGGCAGATCGTCGTCGTCCTCTTCGTCGTCCACATCTTCCGCAAGGTCGACGTGGGGATCCTGCCGCACGTGAGCTCCATGCTGGTGGGCGCCGCTCGCCTCGTCGCCAACGTCGCCTGCTCCTTCCTGGTGGGCCGCCTGCCTCGCCGAACCCTGCTCATCTCGGCGTCTCTAGCGGCTAGCGTCACCATCGCCATTCTCGGAGGCTATTTCTTCCGGCAGGACTCGCAAGCGTGGCCGGACTGGGTCCCCCTGGCTTGCCTGAGCGTGTTCGTGGTGGCCTACGGCGCTGGCATAGGCCCCGTGACCTGCCTGATGTCGACCGAGCTGTTGCCTGGCGCGGTGCGGGGGTTGGGGAGCGGCCTCGCCGGCTCCGCTCTCAACGCCTCGCAGTTCACGCTGACCTTCGCGGCGACGCAGGCCGGCTCGGGCTTCTATATCTGCCTCTGGAGTTACGCGGCGGGAAGCGCTTGCCTGGCCGCGTTCGCCCTCCTGCTTCCCGAGACGAGGAACAAGTCCCTGCGACAGATCGAGGAGTACTGGGCGGACGTCTCAGAGAACATAACGGGCAAGCGGTGGTGCCTCTGCCTCAGAAGAGGGGCGCCCGATGACTGCGAGGCGAACACCAAGAGCAAGCCCAGAAATACCGACTCCGAGTTAGTCAGAACCGTCTGAGTCTCTCCTGCAGACGGCTCGCAACGGCCACGTGGCCTCGTGCGTTCATGGATGGACTATTGGCACTTTGGCGGTGGACGACTGGGTGGTGCCGCTCAGTAGGTTTCACACGAAAGTTTTCGTTCGTCAAGTTAGACTAAAGAGTTCTTATCTTGTGTTAAATCAACATGAAAGGAAAGCGATATTCTTAGGCAATCAAAATTCTTGTTTGTGGAATTTACAGCGCATTTACACACCGATACTACAAGACAGGTGTCCCATCCAAGCCAATTTACGTACGACCTGTGATAGGGTCTTGGGAACACCTGACCCAGCCTGCGGTCAGAGGGCGTTCTGGTCGACGTGATAAGGCCAGAAGGGACAGGAGATACTTCACATTTGCATCTGGCCCTGGCTACGGAGGCTTAATACTGAATATCTGAAACTCCACTTTCAGATCTTACGGGTAGCATCGCATTATCTTCTCTTTGTGAATGAACCTCACAGTTCTCCATATCACGCATAGTCATCGTGCATAACATTCATAACAGTCACTGCCTGTTCACTCGCTTGTGATTCATTCAACATGAACATAGAAAGCAAATGCATTGCTGTTTGTGTTTGTTCGTTCGTTCTTATCATTCCGCAATGCATATAGGTCATTTTTTTCAATACAGACGTGTAACCATTCCATTTTTGTATTTGTGTTAATAAAACCAGTAAAACAACCTGTGATCCTGACAGACTCCCTAAATGTGAAAAAAATCTCAAGTTATCACAGCAAAATAAAACACAAAATAGCAATGAATACTTAATAATTTACGATACAAACGTCTTCAAAAAGCCATGGATTTCCAAGCTGATATCATGAAAAGTTGTCTCCTCTTTAGTTTATCATCAAAGAAATAAGCACCCTCTCTCTCTCTCTCTCTCTCTCTCTCTCTCTCTCTCTCTCTCTCTCTCTCTCTCTCTCTCTCTCTCTCTCTCTCTCTCTCTCTCTCTCTCTCTCTCTCTCTCCTTTTCTCCCTACTTCTCTCTCTCTCTCTTTCTTTCTCTCCCTTCCCCATTTTATCTCCCCCCTCCCCTCATTATCAATCTCCCATTCCTTCTGTGGGAAGAATTAGTCGCAGTGAGGCGAATAACAGACGGTTTTTTTAAAGATGGACGCCCACGAATGCGTTTTCTTTGAAGATGTGTCTAT